GTTACTGGGGTGCAGGAACCTGCCTCTCCACGCCTCCTGCGGAGGGGCAGGTGGCAGTCAGGGCCGTCTCCCCCAGCCTGCGGCACCCTGGGCTGCTCCCTTTGACAGCAGGTGGGGCCCGGCTGGTGGGGACCGTACAGCAAGTCAGGTCAGGATATCACTCTGAACGGGAACTCCGGCTCCTTTTCATGATGCCTTGGTTGGGTCGCACTGCCCAAGGCGACAGGGCACATCACAGCCCTGACGAGGAGCCTCCCACGCTCCCAACTAGGCTCTGGCTGTCCCGGAAGAAGCTTCACCTTCCACGTGAGACATTTCTTCCGCTCCCTGAGGTGTCCTTCCAGCACGGCCTCCAGCTGCTCCTTCAGGGTGCTGAGGGCCTTTCGGGTGGACAGGCCCAGGGCCACGGGGGGCTCGCCCTGCAGGGAAACAGGAGTCACTCAGTATCCCCGAGGCCCAGGCCACCACCCAGTTGGGCTTGTCCCTCGCAGGCTGGACCCTTCCCTTCGCCACACTTCACCCGGCTCCCGCCACTCATGATGTGACCACATCCAAGTCCCCACCAAGTATAGGAAGTCCACACACATAGCCCCTACAATTAAAAGCCAAGGTTGTTTCTGTTTTTTTGTTTGTTTGTTTGTTTTGAGAGGTTTTTCCTATAGGGTGCGTATGCTCGCTGGGAAGACAAAGAGAGACAGAGAGACATAGAGACAGAAAGCGAGAAATCACTTCCCGGGGGGATGGCCACACCGTAATCCCTTCTCCTCCATTCTCCTCTCGGGATCTTGGACACACACGCACACGCGCCCGGCGTGAGTTCTAAGCCACCGGGTCCGGGACGTGAACCGCGGTCAACTACATGGGAATCCAGCAATATAGCCATTACGCTAACTGCTGGTTCCCTCAATACTCAGTGTTTTCTAACCCACCTTTTGTGTAAGGTTCAGCCCACTGCCACGTGTCCTCCCTACCCCACTCAGACTGTTCTCACCCATGGCCTGCCAATTTATCTCACGGGTGCCAGGCTCTCAGATCTCAGGTACCAGAAAAGACAGCTTGTTAAAGGGGGTGGGGGGACCAGCAGGTGGTGTGGTGGTTAAGACACTGGACTCCCACATGGTCAACTGTGGTTCGAGTCCAGGACCTTCCTTTCTCACTCTCTCTCTCTCTCTGGTCAAATTGAAGAAGAAGAAAAATTAAGAAAATTACAGAAATAATTATTTTTTAAAAAGGGGAGAGGGAACTAACATAGAGATACTAGCTTTTTTTTTCTTTTTAAACTTGCTATAGGGTGCATGTGCTCCCTGGGGAGAGAGGCAGAGAGAGAGCGAGGGAGTAAGAAATCACACCCCGCATTCCTTCTCTTCCGTTCTACTCGGGATTTTGGGCATGTGCATACCGCCAGTGTGTTTTTCTTTTCTTTCTTTTTTTCTCTTTTTTGAGAGAGATTTTTGCTATAGGGCACATGCACTAGCCGGAGAGACAGAGAGAGGCAGGAAAACAAAATGTGAGAAATCATTCCCCAAGGGGGATGGCCACGCCGCAATTCCTTCTCCTCCACGCTCCTGTCGGGATCCTGGGCATGCAAGCACATGCACCTGGCGTGAGTTTTAAGCCGCTGGGTCCAGGACTTGAGCCGTGGTCAACTATGTGAGAGTCCAGTGATGTAACCATTACACCATCTACTCAGCGTATTTTTCAAGCCACCAGGTTTGGGACTCGAACCGTGCAATTAGCTATGTGGGATCCAGCCACCTTAACCTCTATACCACCTGCTGGCCAGAGAGGCTAGCTTTTCACTGTTCCTAGGAAGACATTTTAAAAACCTGCCATCTTCCATTACCACCAACTCATAAAAGAGAGGCCATTATAGCCCTGAATATTAAGAAGGACACAGTAGGGCCAGCAGGTGGCATGAAGGTTAAGGAGATTGACTTCCACATGGCTGACAGCAAGATTCAAGTCCCAGAGCTGGTGGCCTGAAAAACACGGAGGTACGTGTGCCCCAAATCCCAAACGGAGAAGGCATTGTGGTGTGGCCATCCCCTCAGGGGTGATTTCTTACTTTCCCTCTCTGTCTCTCTGGCAAGCACATGTGCCCTATTGCAATAAATAAATAAATAAATAAAAATAAAAAATTAAAATTAAAAAAGGACATAAGGGGCCAGCAGGTGGGGTAAAAAAAATGCTGCGCGCCAACATGGCCAGCCATGGTTCAAATCCCGGATTGGAGGCTTGCTTTCTCACTTTTCCTCTCTCTTTCTCTCTGGTCAAATTAAAATAAATAAATAAGTAAAATGAATTTAAATAAAATAATTCTTTTTACAAAAAGACATTAATACCAGAAAAACAACAGTGGTACCCAGGAAAGGACCTTGCAGTGACCACGCCACACGCTCCTCTCACACGGACAGGTGGAACAGGCATGGTCAGGGCAGTTCCCAGACGACACGGCCCTAACACATGTGGGCAATCACGCAGCCCACCTCTCCCGGCTGAGAGTCACCTCTCGGGCTTCTGTCCGCCTCCTCCGTCTTTGACTCCGGCCGCTCTT